TTTTATAGGAACCAGTACACCTTTGAGGCTTTTGTTTCAAGAACATTAGCACGCTCCGCCAATCTTTCGTCTATTAATTCAACTGCTTGTAACCTAGCCCTTAATTCATATTGAATCCTAGTTTCCTTCATTAGTACCTTTTGAATCTACTACCGGATCGGAATTGCGACCCGTTGAGAAGATCCAGCGAGAAACTTAGCGGGCTGACGTGTGGGTAAGGTTGCACGTCGAACTCTTTGCAGAGTTAACGGGATCCCTAAGCCTGCTTTTAGTGTTAGAGCTGAAGGCGTCTAGTTCTGAGGTTAATGGATCTGACGGTCAAATATCTTCTGTACTTTTTATAGCAACCAGTACACCTTTGAAGCTTTTGTTTCAAGTACATTAGAACGCTCCGCCAATCTTTTGCCTATTAATTCAGCTGCTTGTAACCTAGCCCTTAATTCATATTGAATCCTAGTTTCCTTCATCAGTACCTTTTGATGGAAATAAATTACTTTCATGAAATATCGTTTAATATAGCGTGCGAACGCTAAGATCGGTGCGATATTAATTTTGGATATTGTTGTTGCCACATGCTGGAATACGCCGCAGGGCTGGCAGAAATGATCGGTTCAAATTGCGAAATAATAATATCACTCAGTAACACGTTGTTTTGGTAATAGTTGGGAAGATGTGCATACGGACATTTAAATTGTTAATCAAGCCCACTGACACACTCACTTTTCTCTTCTCTCTCTCTTTTCTTCTGTTTTTCTTATAGACAGTAATACTTTCCGGTAGCACGCTTTCACACAAATGCGTAATGGAACTGTCGGTTGGACGTTCAATTCCAAAAAAAGGGTTTCGCGTAAAAATATTATACATACACTTTTATTAACAAACTAGCTGTACCCGTCCGCTTCGCTGGGCATTTAAAATTGACATTATTATTTCTCACCCCCACAAAGAAGATTCTCATCATTAACGCCCCCGCAACTGGTGTAGGGAGTCCAACACTCACATAAATATTAGCCTATCCATTAAGTACATGTATTTTCTCTAAGGATATTAAGTTTCAAGTCAATCGGATGCATGGTTCAGTAGTTATAACGGAACATCCGTAAAAACCACTGTACATTTATATATTAGTATAGATTAATATGAGACTTAAACATGACAAGCCCAATAGAAAATGAAAGATATCGCCAGTTACACTGTACGGTAATCATCTAACGACACCCCACATCGCGATTTGTTCGGGTAATCGAAAGTTTTGAAAGAGATAAAGGGACTTACTCACTCACATATTACGTGAGATATTGATACTTATTTTAAGGACATTTGTGTGCAAATTAAAATTAATTCAACTGAATTCTAGTTTTTTTTGAATCCTGCCCAGCATTAGTCCTCGGTGATCGAAGAAGTCGTAGTGGCCTAACGGATAAGACGTCCGGTGCATTCGTGTTGAGCGATGCACCGGTGCTCGAATCTCAGGTGGGTACCAATTTTTCTAATGAAATACGTACTCAACAAATGTTCACGATAGACTTCCACGGTGAAGGAATAACATCGTGTAATAAAAATGAAACCCGCAAAATTATAATTTGCGTAATTACTGGTGGTAGGACCTTTTGTGAGTCCGCGCGGGTAGGTACCACCACCCTGCTTATTTCTGCCGTGAAGCAGTAATGCGTTTTGGTTTGAAGGGTGGGGCAGCCGTTCTATCTATACTTGAGACCTTAGAACTTATATCTCAAGGTGGGTGGCATATTTACATTGTGGATGTCTATGGGCTCCAGTAACCACTTAACACCAGGGGGCTGTGAGCTCGTCCACCCATCTAAGCAATAAATAAAAAAGCACCTAAATTACAAAGGCACCATTATTATAGGCAGAGCCCGTTTCGGGTAGAACGGTTCTAGATAATTAAGAAATTCATTTTCAGTTCGTTGGAACGTAGTCTTTTGTCGAAGTCAAAAGATATTACAGCCTTTGTTACTAAACTTATCAAAATAATTGGCCTCCGTCTGTGAGAGATTAATGAAGAATTCAAGAGAATGCTATTTTTATTTCGAAATTAATATAAACGTTTTCTTTATTTGAGACTAGCTGACCCCGCAGACTTCGTAGTGCTTCAATCGATAAATAAAAGACCTAAACTTTTGTATAACATAAACTTAAAACAAACAAAAGGAATCCGTCCGACGTCCGATTTTCATATTTATCTATACCTTTTGTAGCCTTGTCTGAACTCCCACAAATAATTCAAGACCAAAATTAGCCAAATCGGTCCAGCCGTTCTCGAGTTTTAGCGAGACTAACGAACAGCAATTCATTTTTATACATATAGATATAGAGGTCAGGATCTGGTGTGAAGTCGCGACAGTTGTTTTTTTTGATCGCCCTTAAAGGCAGACGAGCATACGGCCCACCTGATGGTGAGTGGTTACCGTCGCCCATGGACTTCAGCAATTCCAGGGGCAGAGCCAAGCCGCTGCCTACCGTTAAGTACTTTCCACGAGCCTCGTTTGAAGAAGGATATGTCGTAGCGATTTGTCATGCTATCCCATGGCTTTGGAGGTCAAATTCTATTTACATTCGACGAACAATAATATTCAGTTTGCAACCGAAGATGATAACAAATGTCCCAGTACAAGCCTTTTTAGACAAAATAAAGAACTTAAAAATAAGAACAGAGATAAAATGAAGTGACATTGTAAGAAGGGTCAGATTGATAAAGTGGATATGGGCAGGCCACATTTGTACGATGTATGAGACAACATAGAAAAGGAAGGTGATAGAATGGACGCATAGAGAAGAGAAAATTGTCTATTACGAATATTTTAAGATCAAAATAAACGACAGCGGTTTAAGCGGCAATTACCAGCGAATAGAATTCTAATTTATTATACAGTTCAATTTTGGTTTATTAATTGTTGAATTAATATCGTATTATTACCGTTATAGGCAGACTAGCATTTAGTCCTCCTGATAGGAAATATTTAGCGTTATTCGACATCGGCAATAATAGGGGCACAGGCAAACCGTTGGTTTTAGCTAGATATATATTAAAGGGATTCTAATGTAGGCATAACCAGGGACGTCTTAAACTAGGATGGGGCCCTTGGGCACACAAGAATTTGAGGCCCTTTTTTATAGGTAATCAAATACACTATGATATAATATGTCATTAATGATATTAGAATGCTGCTGGTTTTTTGGTTACGATTTCGATAACAGTTTCTTTCGGGATTTCTGTTGAGCAAAATCTTCTATTATATGCATAGTATATGCCTTATAAATACCTTCTGATTAATGATTTGTGAAAAAAGTGTAATGTGCCCGACAAAAATGTTTTGAGAATAAACGTGTGAGAGAAATTGTCGGTCTTTCGGGGCCCCCTGAGAATGGGGCCCTGGGCACGGGCCCCGTGTGCCCTTATGGTAAAGACGGCATTGGGTATAACGACAATAGGAAGATCTTCCACCGAGCGGGTGATACTGTTCGGTAGACCGACAATCCGGATGTTGCTATTCGGAAAATACTTAATATACTTATGTAATCCAAGCTTATTTTGAAAATGTCGTAAGCGAGATTCAGGCATCTCTAAAATAGGTATCTTGTGTTCTGTTATAGCTACCTCCACACCGATAAATCATTTTATATAGGATCTGTCCTCTGCTTGTCAAATTGAAGTATATTTAATTAAAATTTGCGGACTGTGTATAGACTATTTCAACTTCTGTAATGTAGTCTATTGTTATTGCTTTAATGGGAAGACGAGCTCGTGATTTACTTGGAGTTAAGTGGTTACCGGAGCCCATGGACATCAGCGACATAAATGCCACCACCCATCCCGAGACATGAGTTTTAAAGTCTCCGTTTTTATAGGATAACTACCCCACCTTTCAAAACGAAACGCACTACTGCTTCGCGGCAGAAATAGCCCGGGTGGTGGTACCTACCCGTGCGGACTCACGTCCTACTACCAGTGAAACTTTCTGTTAATGTATGATATATGAAACAAAACCAGTAGTTTAACAAAAAAAAATTATGTATGTATTTTTAATGTGGCGTAGTGTAATGCAATATAAAAAAAAAACTGTTACTCGGAACCTACGGCTTCGACAAAAAGGACGCCTACCGACCTTCAAGTTACCTCTATTTTGCTGAGCTCATTAACGAGTATTGTTTTTCATTCTCATTAGAGTAGTAATTTATTACCGTTTCTCCTTCAAGAACCATCTGATTATGCCCTTTACAATGTCAACAGTATCCAACTGGGATGGCAGTGTACCAGATAGTCGAGCGATAATATAATTAATACAATTGATTCATTTGGATACCGTAACCTAAAATGAATTAAAACATTTTTATTTTTTTACTTATTATTATAATGTTTACATTCACTATTTATGACTATTAAATAAATATATTACTTAATTACAAAAAAAATATATTGAAGATATTCTCATATAAATAGCATATTAACAATAGAACGGAATAAATGCACGCATTAAAGATTAAATAATAATAAATAAAACCTAAAAATAGAAGAGACAGTTTCTAATAAATACAAAGGACATACATACATGAAAACGCTTATAGAATCGGACATACAATAAATTACATTCTCACAATGACATACTCAAATAAATTAACCAATAAATTAACTAGCCTAGAACCGCTACTAAATGCTAAACTCCACACATTGAATTGTGCCAAAAAGCAATAGAAGAAAAAGTTATTGTTTCTTTACAAAACATATTTAGTAATCTGAGCAAGTACTGATGCGATATTATATTTTTACAATTTTTTTTTTGCTATATGGATGGAAGAACTCACGGCCCACCTCCTGGTGTTAAGCGGTTACCGGAGCCCATAGACATCTACAACGTAAATGCCGCCACCCACTTTAATTAAGCCTACCTTCAATTAAGTTCTTGGTCTTCGAGATTGTGACAGCACTTACGCTGTTTTAGCTTTCTTCTTCAACTTGATTAGAATCTACCATTCACCTGCTCACACTATGACGTTTTTATATACTTTGTTATCTAGAATTCAAAGCCTCAATTTCCTAGCAGTCACTAGCTTGTTGATATCGTGATACGCAGCTATCATGGTGTGCGTTGGAGTGCTGGTTGAACAGCCTGGATGGAGAGTCACGCAGTCCACTCCCTCTTGTCCTCGCCTCGCTGCTCTCATGTATTTGAAGAACCTAAGGATCTCTGGGTTGTCGGAGACCGGGCGACGGAGTTCGTTCAGCTCTCTGCGGCAAATAAAACAAGGATTTGTAGAAAGAACTGTCTTTAGTCTTTACTGTTAAATGTCAAGTCTGGTGGTAGGAGGTTCTTGTGAGTCCGCGCGGGTAGGTACGAGCACCCTGCCTATTTCTGCCGTGAATCAGTAATGCGTTTCGGTTTGAAGGGTGGGGCAGCCGTTTTAACTATACTGAGACCTTAGAACTTATCTCAAAGTGGGTGGCGCATTTACGTTGTAGACGTTTATGTGCTCCAGTAACCACTTAACACCAGGTGGGCTGTAAGCTCATCCGCCCATCTAAGCAATAAAAAAAAAAGAAAAAGAAACTATAGGGGATTTTACTTGCTCGTTTTTGCATAACACCGTCCAGCCTATCGCCCATAACATAGCAATGTCAACATTACTTTTGTACGAAACAAGTCCGCCCCATACCCTAGCAGTCCCTTACTAGAAGAGAGAATACCCTTACTAAGCAATAAGGTCGACAATTGTTCTACTCATTTGCATTCTGATGTTCCAATCGGAATATAAAACATCGATTATTTACATAAATCTTTCATGGTATGGGAAAAGGGTCAGTAAGCTCGTATATCTATTAGGTAATTAGCTTATGACCTCACGGACCTCACGTACGTCACATAAGATTCAACTTTTTTTTCGATCATCTTCCAAGTTAACATAAAAGTCTTCATTGACACAACGGTTAACCCACCTAATGAGCTGTGTCTTTGCGAGTTTTTTAAGGTTCTCGTTAGCGTAAAAGTTAACTCAAATTTGTATGGCAGCGTAACGGCGCCCCTAGCGGCGAACGTAGGCAAACGTTCCGACTTTAGTTAACTTTTACGCTATCGAGAACGTTAAAAAACTCGCACTAAGCACACTGGTATTTAAATGAAGCCTCATCAGTTGTAAACCAGAACATTACCAACCTGCTCAACTGGGCTGATACCAGGTTGCTGTAGGGCGCGTATTTCGCTGGATTCGCGTACATGAGGCAAATAAGCTGTTCCCTGCAAGCTTCTAGCTTCATGTCACTCAGACTTTGCCCTCCCATTTGTGGGCTATCTGTGACTGCATTCTCTGATGGTGCTAATCCTGAAAATGAAAGATGTTTGCTTAGAGATTAATTTTCTAGTTTGCCTTCCCGTGTGCAGTTTTTATTAATTGCATAGATAGGTGGACGAGCTCACAGACCACCTGGTATTAGGGGGTATCCGAGCACATAGACATCTGCAACGTAAATGCCGCCACCCACCTTGACATATGAGTTCGAAAGTCTCAGTATATAAGGTCTCAGCTTGAGGTTAATATTGGTAAAGCTCCAATTTATAGTATGTGATTCTATAGTCATTACATTTGGCTTGTTCTGTCTTTTTGAAAGGTGGTGGAAATTGCTGTCATGTATTTGTGTTAATGGTTAATGATGACCAAATCACCTTCCATCATCACCACCACCATAACCTTCTCCAGAAATTGTATAACCAATAATATTGAGTTTGATGTGTTAGTATCAACAATTTTATCTTTTCCTCCTCCTTATCCCATGAGGTGGGGCAGCACAGCGAATTATCCTATTCCATTCTCTTCTATCAGCCATCATCTCAACACTCACTCCTCTCTCTCTCTCTCATATCGTCATTCACACACTCCATCCATGTCTTCTTCCTCCTTTACCTTCCACTACCATTTCCATACATGTACCTTCTCATGTACATCACATCTCCATACCAAGCTAACTGTCCGCTCTTTAATTTGTTAATTATCGGGGCTATTTTCGTTAAGTTAGTCAGTAGTAGCGTTAGTATCAACAACTTCCTGCATATTTCTGTGACGAAGCTTTCACATATTCCAAATTCGAATTTCAAATTCATATCTCAAGGCAGGTATCGGCATTCGCATTGTCGTACCTATTGACCCTGCTAAGTACCTAACTTAAAGTCAACTTTGAGATCATTTGGCTGATGAAACAAAAGTTCTTACCGAGCCTTGCAAAGATCCCGTCGAGCCTTGAAAGCAGCGGTGAGTAGAAAGGGTCATAGTTGCTCAGGATCATGGAGGACGCCGGTATTTTTTGGAAGATCTAAAAAAATAAGAATCATTAGATATGACGCCAGATTCCTTTGCTCAGCTAAGTATAGATATTTATCATTTTACGATCTCATTAATAATGAGCTGTCGTAGCTTTATAAGAATAAGATCATTTGAATAAAAATGTGGGTATGCATAGGAAGACAAAGGTTGCAGGCGGTCATTGACCCACGAATTTATACATTGCGGGTATTTAAAACTTTATTGCACCGATTGTTTAAGATTATTTTCCGATTCTATGTTATTTTACCTTGTAGTTATTTGCAGTGGACATCTGGTTTTTGTAGTAGCTGTTCTTGCTTGGTAGGTAGGTAACTTTGGGTCCACCTGCGCCGTATCTGAAAGAGACGATAATAATTTTGTGTGGGTAATACCGTTCTGATTATTTTTGGTGAAGAACAAAAGCGAACGTGTAGGTTGCTTAATAGAAAGCGTATTTTATTGGTTTTTAAGCTATTACATAGCTTTTATCGCGGGCTTTGAACGCGGTGACCGATTCCAGAAATTCCGTAACGAAAATAAAACCTAACACCCCCCACTCCGCCTATCGTGTAGCTCGCGTTCAACACATTCACACGTTGCGCTTGTGTAGTGTTTGTGAATAAGCGCGCGGCGTGACGTTGCACTGCATGTGCATCTAGAAAAGTCTGCCCATCTCTCTCTCGCGCGGTCTAGCTTATGAGTGTGAAGGGGACAGTTAATATTTGGCTTTTGTTAATGTTTATAAATATAGCGAGTCTTATTTTATTATTGTTTTAATATTAAATTATTATTGTCTAAATATAATTGCATAACTTGATAGAAAATGCTATGCAATAGCTTTACCGCGGCAGTCCCCGAGTGCCACACGTGTTTTTTTTTATTTAACCGGTTTAAGCACATATTGTTTTCTGATCTGATTGTATCATTTAATTCAAACCGTTCCAAGAAAAATAGATTGAGAACGAATCGTGAAACGCGAGAATTGGCATCGTCAAAGCACAACCGCACGATATGAATATCGCGAATTGGCTATGTGTTTTGTTCCAACGGAAAATTCGATTTGCGCTTTCGGCGCGTAACATTTTCTGAATATATCGCGGGAGGGTTTTGATCTTGTATTTTATTCGTTTACGCTGGTACACTAACAAGGTTAATGCCATATATACAGTCACGATATAATTTCGTGTAAATTACTGATATAAAAGACACATTTCACATGTAAAATCAAATAAGAACCAGAATGAGCTTGTTTATTTACGTCTTATGACCGCAAATGTCATAGGTTACGTATACCGTGCTAAAAACACTAATTAAAAACTTTTTAAGAAGGTCTGAAACGTGAGCAGTATACTACGCTGAACAAGGTTTTTTTTGCTTAGATAGATGGACGAGTTCACGGTCCACCTGATGTTAAGTGGTTACTGAAGCCCATAGACATCTACAACGTAAATGCCGCCACCCACCTTGAGACATGAGTTCTAAGGTCTCACAGTGCAACGGCTGCCCCACTCTTCAATCCGAAACGCATTACTGCTTTACGGCAGAAATAGGCAGGGCGGTGGTACCTACTCGTGCGGACTCTCAAGAGATCCTACCACCAGTAATTACGCAAATTATAATTTTGTGGGTTTGATTTTTATTACACGATGTTATTCCTTCACTGTGGAAGTCAATCGTGAACAAGTATATGTACCTAAATATGAATTAAGATTGTTACTAAAGGCTTATTTCTTTATCTTTATCTCAAGTATGTAAGTCAATCTCTGGTACCCATAACACAAGGGAATCTTAATTTTGGGTTGGATGACCGTGCGTGATTTATTCCCAGTAATTTATTTATTTATTATTACAACTATAAAGTTAAATTTTGAAAAACAATAAACCTTATTCCTTTAAACGAGCAATTCTTGTATATTAATAAATATGTATATAATCTGAATCTCGGAAACGGCTCCAACGATTTTCATAAAATTTAGTATACAGGGGATTTGGGGGGCGATAAATCGATCTAGCTACGATTTATTTTCAGAAAATGTTGTTTTATTCGTGTTTTCAATAATCAACTCTTCGCGACATCTATTGGCGAATAATAATACTATTTTTCTTTATTGAGGGCAACTAACCGCTTTAAAGACACAACAAGATGGCGTTATCAAAAAGAAAAAAAAAAGGAGCAAAGCTCGGTCATCATCTAGTCGTTTTTATGTTAAATCATTTGATTTAATAATGGACATAATTAATAATACTTTTACGGCTTAATGTGGCTTGTACTACTTTCTTTATTTTTTTCCGATGTTTCAAAAATACTTTAGGGTTTTCGTGGTCACGGATTAGTGATTTCAATGAGCTCTTTAATAAGCTTATTGAAGGTGGCATTAATACAATATTTTACCTTGACATGTCAATGTTTCCCGGTTCCATGTCGTTTCCTTCTGTGGCATAATCTTGGGGGTACGCATAAGTGCCAGTTGGGTTAGTCTCATATCCCATGAAGTCTTTGTTGTCGTTGTTATATGCGTTAGTGTCATCCATGTTAGCCGGGGGATAGCTAGCTTGACTGGAAGTCGCTGACAAGTGAGAGATACCTGAAAATTATCGAAACAAATTTAACATTTTAATTTTCTCTGTCATTATTTTAAATCAGTTTTTTTTTATTGCTTAGATAGGTGGACGAGCTCACAGCCCAACTAGTGTTAAGTGGTTACTGGAGCCCATAGAAATCTACGACGTAAATGCGCCACCCACCTTGAGACATTAGTTCTAAGGTCTCAGTATAGTTACAACGGCTACCCCACCCTTCAAACCGAAACGCATTACTGCTTCACGGCAGAAATAGGCAGGGTGGTGGTACCTACCCGCGCGGACTCACAAGAGGTCCTACCGCCAGTAAAATGTCTTTGACGTAAAATGGTTAGCTATCAATCTGGTGATCCTTCGTAATAAGGTGACACTCTACAAAACGTGCATACGCTCCATCATGACCCATGCAAGCTTAGTGTTCGCTCACGCGGCCCGCACTAACTTGAAACCCCTTCAAGTTATACAATCCCGTTTTTGCAGGATGGCCGTCGGGGCACCATGGTTCCCAAGGAATGTGGATTTCCATGTGACCTGGAGCTTGACTCAATCAGTAAGTATATACAGTTGGCATAAAAATAATAATAGTGATACCTATAAGCTTAAATGGGTTTTTTTAAAGATCATTTACGAATGATCAGTATAAATGTCGCTGTTTTTGTCTGTATGTATTTGTATACACTTACTTTATCTAAGCATCGGAGCGTATATATTTTATAACTATTAACATACAAACGTACACAATGGTACACGCATTTTATATTAATAGAATACAAAATAACGCCTATTTTTGACATTAGACAATAGAAGGAAACCCTCTTTGCAAAATTACGCGTAATTGGAGTGTAGCCGAAAATAGCAGGACGTGGGTAGGCGAGTAGCGTGATATAATTAGAAGGAGAGAACTCAAATATGGATGGTTAATAATATATAAGAAAAAATATAACTGGTGGTAGGACGTTTTTTTTTTTTTTTATTGCTTTCGAAAGGCAGACGAGCTTACGGCTCATCTGATGGGAAATGATAACCGTCGCCCATAGACATCCAAACTACATCAGTGACTCAGATGCGCTGCCTATCCTGGCCTGAATGGGCAGCCTTATGTATGTTACACCGGCTATCCTGTCCTTCAGATCGGAACACAGTATTACTATTTTGCGGCAGAAATAGACAGGACGGTGGTACCAATCCGGGCGGGCTTCTACACAGAACCCTACCACCAGATAAACGTTTTGTGAGTCCGCACGGGTAGGTACCACCGCCCTGCCTATTTCTGCCGTGAAGCAGTAATGCGTTTCGGTTTGAAGGGTGGGGCAGCCGTTGTAACTATACTAAGACCTTAGAACTTATATTTTAGGTGGGTGGCGCATTTACGTTGTAGATGTCTATGGGCTCCGGTAACCACTTAACACCAGGATGTGAGCTCGTCCACCCATCTAAGCAATAAATAAATAAAAATTGTCTAACTAGGCTTGTATGTTTTGCGTTGATTATTATATATACTAAAACCAATAACGGATGAATTTAAACATCTTAATTAATCAAAATTAGAATTAAAAAGAATTTGCAAATAAACTTACAATAACCTCAGTAGAAAATAAAATAAAAGTAATTATTTCTCTTGAATAAAGGAGAGCTCTCACTAACTATATTAAACACATTCCTTGGAATGCAAAGCTTTTGAACTACTTCACGTTATAACGAGCTTCGATTTATATATAAGCTTCTTAGCGAAGAGTAGCAAGTTGTGTTGTCAGTATATCTTGCAAAGGCTGTTTGAATACTGAGAGCTTTAGCGTATTTGTGAGATGATGCAGTATAACTTGAAGTCTGTAACTCCGGCTGAATATTTTAATAATATTTTTTTAAATATTTTATTGAAGCCTCTTAAAATCAAACACGTACAAGAATTCTTAACACTAGTATAATAATATACATGGCTTTTTTACAGTATAGAATAGTAATATAAGTTAGGTTTATTTATGGCTAATATCCGTATCCGGAATTCCGATTAGTATATTTAAATTCTATTTCCTTTGGCGTCATTTATAAACACGTATTGAAGACTGAACGAGATATTATCGAGACTTATATCTAATCAAGATTTTCGGGGTTGTAATGAACAAATCAAGAATTTTAACAGGTATATGACTGAGGCGTGATACTTAAGTTACTTAAATTCACTGGTGGTAGGACTTCTTGTGAGACCGAGCGGTTAGGTACCACCACCCTGCCTATTTTTGCCGTGAAGCAGTAATGCGTTTCGGTTTGAAGGGTGGGGCACCCGTTGTAACTATACTGTGACCCTAGAACTTATCTCAAGTTGGGTGGCGCATTTATGTTGTAGCTGTCTATGGGCTCCAGTAACCACTTAACACCAGGTGGGTTGCGAGCTCGTCCACCCATAGAATCAATAAAAAAAATTAGACCTGTTAAGCTGCTTGGTGAACTTCATATAATCGAATTGAAATTTCAAGTAAAGTTGAAGACATATTGTGTGTTAGTGATAATAATAATAACAATAAACCACTCGGCTCTTGAATTATTTTTTTAATAACTTAATTTTTATTTTTGTCCTCATTATTTTTGTGTGCGCTGCAAAATTTCTGGGTTATCCTCAGTTAGTATCGGGAATACAATATAATAAAAAGTTAGTTAATAGGTTTTTTTACTTCTGACAGGGCGTCATACAAGTCCGCTTATGTTGGTGTCTGTAACTTGCCTATATCTGCCACGAAGAACTTACATTACTTATTTACACCTCGTGGCTCAAGATAGATAACGACATTCACATAGTGGTAAAACATGGTGCTGTGGATTCTGATAGTACCTTAACAGCAGATGAGTATAGTTACCACGGCTGCCCCACCCTTCAAGCCGAAACGCATTACTGCTTCACGGTAGAAATAGGCAGGGTGGTGGTACCTACCTGCGCGGACTCACAAGAGGTCCTACCACCAGTGAACTATACTTGAGATCTTAGAACTTATATCTCAAGGTGTGTGGTGCATTTACGTTCTGGATGTCTATGGGCTCCAGTAACTACTTGACACCAGGTGGGCTGTGAGCTCGTCCAGCAATCTAAGCTATAAAAAAATAAAAAAGATGACTCGTAGGCCATACACCAGTCCACGGAAAAAAAGCTTGCGAAGTGCGACTGAATTGAATCTCACCTTTTCCTAATATCTTCCCGAAGCTACCGAGTATACTTGGCAGGAACATCGCGAACAGAATCGTCTTTATCAACACCTGCCCTCCGATCAGCAGCGGCAGGAAAAACTTGTTTAAACCGAAGGCTGAAATCATGGTAACCGTTATTAGTTTCAATATGATGGTAGGGTTTTTGCAAAAATGGATCGGCATGGGTTGGTATTAGAGTTTAGATTGCAAAACCGGTTTTCTTAGTATTTTTTAGCAGAGCATACTGCTCCATGGACATTACGAAATATGAAGTTAAATGGTTGTCGTAAGTCAGAAGAAGAAGAAGAAGAGTTTAAGACCTTGGAGAGATAGTTAGTTTTAAAACAAAGCTAAACACATTAAGCGTGGTCAAGTTACTTGCTTCGGCTACTTGTATCTTTAGATTGTAATTCGAGCAGGATATCTTTGGATATTATTAGACGTGTTCTACTTTGTTTATCCCACTTCCATCCACGTTAAATTTATAAATTTCGAAAAATGGTATAAGAACATGGCTGGGATAACGTCGGGTATATCTGCTTTGATGAGTAAGTCGTGTGTCCGCTGACTGATTGATATGTCAATGGGCTTATAAATCAATTGGTAGTTTATAGATTAGAGAGTACCAGAAGCAACCCTTCATAATAAGGAAATGTAACTTGTTTTATTTAATCATAAATTTGTGGTGGATCCCTGAAGCACGTATAGCTTATCGCTATTGATAAATAAAACATTTGCAAATTTCGCTTTCATTCATTATCTGCATCTTCATCTTTCTCGAATCTAAAGGATTCAATTTAGATTTTCTTAATAAGTCCGTTAATCTGTTTCAGACAGATATAAAACAATTTTAACAATGAGCCTGAAGTGCCTAAGAACTAATTTGTTAAGCCGATTTCGTCTTTTTGACGTTGTAGCCAAGATTAAAGCCACAAAAGAAAATTTATGATTTTTATACGACAAATAATAACAGTAAAACATATTATTATACTTACATCTGAAGCCCATAAACTTAGCGGCTTTTGGTAAGCTTATCGAAAGCACGTGCGTATCTATAAAGCTCTTGATCTTTTGATAAAGTCTGTATTCGTAAGTATATTTACTGAATAAGCCTCTCGCTTCTTCGATATCATTATTTTCTTTTCTCTCTTTGTCTACTACTTTAGTATCGTTTTTAATTTTGATTTCAACTCCATCAATTATTTTGATTCGTTCATAATTTAATACGTTATCTACTAAATGCTCTACGTATCCCATAGTTTTATTTAAAAGGGCCTCTTTCTCTGTTACATTTTCTAAACTTCTGATAAAATCTTGTAAAGTACTAGGCGCTTTATCACTGACTAAAACATTAATATTACTAGATTCAGTACTATGGCAATCGCTTTTATTTATATCTACAGTATTATTTTTGGTTTCTTCATCTATACTTAAATCTTGACAGTTAAAACGAGCAGCAAAAAGTAGTATGTACATTAAAATTAAAGTGTGATTCTCGATCGGCCATTGTGCTTTTCTATAACCGGTCCAGCGTGATGTTTGTTTCTTTAGGTCCATTTTTGTGTGGCCTTTCTAAACTCATCACCGTGCACTTATATCGGGCTCTTCAATAGATGGTTTTCTGCGTCAATTAATGAGAATTCTGTAACAAAAAAGATCGTTATTAGAAAATGAGCGGAATTATATTCACATTATTGTTTTCGTGCGTCTAGTGAATGGTTGGCCTCGTTCACAGACGAAAGTGGCTAAATAGATTGATCTGTACGTATCTTAACCGTGATTATAACTGATAAGTGGTCATTTGCTGAATTCTGCTGGTATATGTCTTGATCGTCACATATCCCTCTTTTTTCTACCTATTCTTTGGTAGCCTAAGGGGCTATTTCAGCCCGCTATTTCAGCCGGCTATTTCAGCTACACTATGACTGGTAGATGATCTCCCATCCAATCCACTATATGCAGCATTTCAATAAGAAAAGACGCGTATATTAGCTCACCACGAGCCTAGTGTTTATCGATCAGCAAGGCGTATCTTCAATAAAGACCAGTTATTATCCCAGCTTTCAAAATGTTCGGCATCCGTTGCCATTGTGACATATTCAATCATCAGACGACGGCTGCCAAATACGAACCTACCAAAAAAATACTTGTATTTGGTGTAAAATCGACTAATTTTGAAAACTGTCCGCTTTTATCCTGTATATTGTATTGTGTATTGTATATTGTATGTAATTATACAAAACTAGCTGACCCGGCAAACTTCGTAGTGCCTCAATCGATAAATAAAAGACCTAAACTTTTGTATAAAATAAACTTAAAACAAACAAAAGGAATCCGCCCGACGGGGGACACTCAAAGGAAAAACACAAAATTGTTATTTTTAAGCATTTTCATATTTATTTACCTTTTAAACCTTCTCTGGACTTTCACAAATAATTCAAGACCAAAATTAGCTAAATCGGTCCAGCCGTTCTCGAGTTTTAGCGAGACTTATGAACAGCAATTCATTTTTATATACATAGATTATACTTTAAAGGCCTGCGTGTAACATATCCGCCGTATACAAAATAACAATGGGAGCTATTTATTTACACTAACTTCCCCATTGCCGGCTCGAGCAAAGCATTCAATTTCTTTAGTCACCGGTAGGCACAAAAGAATTTCCGATCTGAATGCTTTTATCAGCTCTCATTGGTAGATCCGGGCCCAAATCACGTTTATCGGTTTCTCTTGAACGCTATAATTAGAAGAGGATGAATGAGTCACTAATGCCATTCACTGACTGCGGATATGATCACTTGAGAAAATACTTCATGTTCAATGCATTTGACTATAACAGATACCATCTTAACCCAGAGATATTCATGATATCGCTGGACAACGAGAGCGATCTCATTTGGTCTTTGGATTAATAACCAGTCACCATAAAACTGGCCATGAATGCCACACATACAGGATTGAAATAAAATATGTATTTTTTTAAATAGAGTGCTCTTATAAATAAGTCTTAATAAATAACTAATAGAACAGTCTTAATGGGGGTTTAACAAAATGATAAAAATACATTAGGCTTCATAAAAATGCTTGATGCATAAGTAATGCGTTTCGCTGTGAAGAGCGTGGCAGACTTTTCTACTGTAAAATTGAGACCTAGAACTCGTATCAATACAGGTGTCGGAGCTCATGTTGTTGATGTCTATGGGCTCCGGTAACTACTTAACATTAGGTAGGTCGGGAGCTCACCCACCCAATTTAAGAACAAATAAATAAAATAGGTTCTCATTATTTAATCGTTACCGTGTTTGCCGTAACCAGATTCGATTAAGGGTAGATTCTCATCTAAGACTACAGGGCTAAAGGCTCACTAAATGGGATAATAGTTATCTTGATATTGATAAACAAGGTACTACAAAGTAAGGGATAAATGTTTTTCAAAGGACACGTTTAGGGCACCAACGAACTTCAGCAGACAGTTGAAGATGCAGAAATATAATTAGGAAGGTCCTAATTTTACTGGTGGTAAAACACTGGTGGTAGGACCTCTTGTGAGTCCGCGCGTGTAGGTACCACCACCCCGCCTATTTCTGCCGTGAAGCAGTAATGCGTTTCGGTTTGAAGGGCGGGGCAGCCGTTGTAACTAAACTGAGATCTTATATCTCAAGTTGGGTGGCGCATTTACGTTGTAGATGTCCATGGGCTTCAGTAACCACTTAACACCAGGTGGGCTGTGAGTTCGTCCACCCAATTAAGCAATAAAAAAAAAATTCATTATAATCTATCTAAATTTCGCCCTAAGTTTCTATGTTTTTTTTTTTTTTTTTTTTTTATTGCTTAGATGGATGGACGAGCTTACAGCCCACCTGATTTTAAGTGGTTACTGGAGCCCATAGACATCTACAACGTAGACGCGCCACCCACCTTATGTCTTCGTAATCAAATACCAAACCGTGACAACCAATCTTGCCGTTTGCCAAATTGACTCTTTTGGCTCAATTCTCAAAGCCACATAAATCTGAAGCCACATATTTAAGGCTAAACTCAAAGGCGGTTGGAAGCAAATTTTCCTTCATAAAATCACTTGTAACTTAAACAATGTAAAAATATCGAGCCAAAGCGAAAGGAGAGTGTCATTGAAAAATGAATTGGTTCATCGACCTCAGACGTCGGCGGTGCTTCATTTCATAAATATTATATCGCGACGGGAATTGTGTGCTAACGTGAAATGATTCGAGACGATAAAAACGTGCACGTGTTCTTTTAAAGTTCATTATTTTCTTTGAAAAAAAAAGACGTGTGGCACTTTATCAACTTATGCAATTACAATCAGACAATAATAATTTAATATTAAAACAATAATAAAAATAAGACCTCGCTATATTTATAAACATTAACAAAAGCAAAACCTTAACTGTCCCCTTCACACTCATAAGCTAGACCGCGTGAGAGAGAGATGGGCAGACTTTTCATGATGCTTATGTAGTACGACGTCACGCCGCGCGCTTATTCACAAACACTACACCAGCGCAACATGTGAATGTGTTGAACGCGAGCTACATAGTGGGGGTGTCAGGTTATTTTCGTTCGGACTGGGTGGGCCGCGACCGCGGATGCCTCACCTTCCGGCTGACGCAGATGTTGACCGGCCATGGGTGTTTTGGCCGGTACCTCTTTAAGATAGCCGGAAGGGAACCGACGGCGCAGTGCCACCACTGCGCGGACCGCGACGAGGAAGACACAGCGGAACATACATTGGCGCGTTGCTCTGGATTCGACGAGCAACGCGCCGCCCTCGTCGCGGTCATAGGAGAGGACCTCTCGCTGCCGCGCGTCGTGGCTACGATGCTCGGCAGCGACGCGTCCTGGAAGGCGATGCTCGACTTCTGCGAGTCCACCATCTCGCAGAAGGAGGCGGCGGAGCGAGAGAGGGAGAGCTCTTCCCTTTCCGCACCGATCCGTCGCCGTCGAGCCGGGGGCCGGAGGCGGGAATACGCCCGTACGTCCCGGCCCCTGTAGGTGGCGGCCTCCCCCCGGTGAAGGTCAAGGGGCGACCTGAGGGGGTGAGGCCGCGCGGCGCGCTACCAGCACTCTAGCGCGCTGCCGTGGAGTGAATAGAGCGACCGGTCGACGGTGTATCGCGTCCCGACCCGGCAGGCTGGTTCTGGTCCAGCGGGGTATTCCGGGACACCAGCGGCACCGTCTGGGCGGCCCGACGGGCTGCCGTACCGAGACGGCCGACGTTTCAGAGCCTTCGATTCGCCTCGAAGGCTCCGTCGGCTGGGCGTCCTTGGGGTGAGCCGCGCCGTCTGGTTGTAGTGTTGACCGCGGTAGCCCCCCTACCTCATCCGGGTTCTGACCTCGGAGGGGATCGGACGTCGGGTGTAAGAGTGCAGGGGAGTTGTTTAGTGGGTGGGTCCTAAAATTCTTGGGCCCGCGGTCTGCTCACAACACCATGCAGATCGTTGAGTCTCACATACCCCGCGCGCCCCTTTTGCGCGGGGACCTCGTAGGAGGTTCGGCCCTCTACGCGAAAAAAAAAAAAAGGTTATTTTCGTTACGGAATTTCTTGATTCAGTCGCCGCGCTCAAGGCTCGCGATAGAAGGAAGCTATACAATAACTAAAAAAAACAAGCTAATGTTGGCGGATTTGTTTTAGCGAAGCTAAATATTTTATCAACGAGATTACGTTATTCGTCACTCATTTTCAGTAATGCGGTGTGCTTATTGCAAGTTTTTACACTTCTCGATCGCGTAAAATTTAACTCAAATTTTTATGGAGTTTGAAGAGCTTCCCTTCATTTGCCGCTAGGGGCGCTGTTCCAACTCCATACAAATTTGAGAGGAATAAAGAGTGGTTAGAAACTCGCACTAAGCATGCTGGTGGTTGGGCGTATGATAACATCGCATATTTAGGTGCCACCATATCGCCTATTTCTGACGTGAAGCATTAAGGCATATCGGTTTGAAGGGTGGGCGTTGTACTGTAAAATTGAGACTTAAAACCCATTTCTTAAGGTGGATGGATATTCGTGGTCTGTAAGCTAGTCTACCAAACTAAGCAATAAAAAAATCTCAGTAGGCAATGATTAAAAGAAATAAGGTGCAATTTTAATTTTTGTTTTTTTAATAACAACCAATTATTTAAGTATATAACTTAAATTTTTTTTAAATATTCCCTGTGGTTATTTTCAAATAATTCTAAATATCATTGCTTTTCAAGTTGTTGATATCACTAGTGATATAAAGAATATAGAGCCGTTTCCTCAAATTTTTAAACAAATAAAGGTTTATATCATGGTACTCCTTTCATTCTTCTATCAAAGTCAGGCATTAATTTAATATATAATTTCTACGATCTAAGTACAGTATCTCTGTAAAAACATATCAAGTTATTAAACACCGTATTCATAAATAAGTCTTAAACTTGTTCAAGTCTTAACCACCTTTATGCTTTCACTTGAAATTAGAAAAAATGTTTTGTCAATAAATCAGCAAGATCATAAGCATTACTGAAATTTGAGTCATAGTTACACAGACTATATAAAATAAAACGTTAAAGCTTAAAGTATCTGTTTGAATAAAACTAATGAT